AGGATTCTCTTTTTTAATCACAAACCAAGAGAAAGGAATATATCGGTGTTTATTCTTCCATGCGCGCGTCGGTAGCCTCTAATTTCATTATACTGAAATGAAGCTGCGACATGATTTATTTCTCGATGCAGATAGCGGGATTGTGTAACAATCAGATTTTAATCTGATTATTAAGGCGAGAAGAACGTTCGATTACGTTTATTTTACTCTGTGAATGCCTGTCTATAGATGCCTGCCTTCGATTAAATTGGGAATACAGTTGATACAATTGTTTGCAGCAAATTATTGATTTTATGAATAAAAGATTATGCTCTCAGAAACCAGACGTTTCTAATTATTGTATATATTTTTAGAGTTATAAATATATAAAACGTCACTCGTTACATCGTGATGTTATTATTACTACGCTAACTTTCTCTATTTGGCTTATATTGAGCAAACCGAGCGCTCGGAAACATTTCTCATGTGTTAGAAGACGTGAATGCCCAGCCTTGGGTTACCGCGGGCCGAGATTAAGATAGGCGGTATTCGGCGCTAAATATATGTGGTGCGAATCTCGGTAAGTGAAACATACCCCGTTCAGATTCGCGAGGTATAATCAAGAAGGGAGCCGGGAATGTGCTAATGCGCGGAATAGCGCTCATTTCGCCGCTCGATATGCAAAAGTGGACGAATCCTCCGGCATGGGCATCCGCATTCGACGAAAGTGATCGAGAAAGAACGAATCTACGATCACGGGTTAATTGCCGCCTTGCGCCGTTACCTCATCCGCACGTGACCTCTAACATCGTTCCCCTCTTTTTTATTTCCTGCCGTGAGATTGCTCGAGATTCGGTAACACACCGTGTCATCAGTGCTAAAAAGAGGCAGCGATCCGAATCGGTATGCAACAAGTATTGGCGCGCGGTGATTGGTGAAAGCGTTCGATAATTTGTTGGTCGGAGAAATGGCCACGTGGTCCATTGCAAAGTATATCATTTGGGCGCATAATTGAGCTCCCGGATTATCGTTATTAATAATCCGATGTGTTCTTCGGTTCGATTACGCGAATATGCAGTTAGAATTAAAATGGTCGTAATTTGGTAAATTATAAAACCTCCTAAAATTATTATAATTATTTTAACGATGTAATAATGACTTACGATAGCATACGAGGTAGCTTGTAAAAGAACGCAAACTTCCCACCGCATATTTTTCTTCACTCGTCGCATATTTTTCTAAGAAGAAAGCAAATGTCTCGATATACGAATGTTAACATAATTTCGCAGAAAAAAAACGATTAGCTCTATTTGTCATGGCAATTTTTCAACCAGTCGAAGTGTGAATACGTCCCGCTAGTAAAATACCGGTTAAAACCGATAATTCCTTCATGATCGATAGGAATGTAGTAAATCATAATCTTTCTATCTAAAAATTATTGTATCCTTAAGTGTAATAGCCGGTTAGCAAGCTCTAACCTTTTGGCTCACTTAGCACGCGATGAATGCGACGAGCACGAGAAATGTTAAATGAAAAATTAGTCGAGCTTTAGTATCTTTAGGGCAAGACGCGCATGTAGATACTGTTCATGTAGATATACCGTTCACGATATAAAGATCAAACTCGAGAAATCTTTGAGAAAAAATAAAATGCCTTAAAATGTAAAAAATGAAATAGTACAAGCACCTTGCCTTCCTCTTCTTCGTAGGAAGATTTCTTAGTAACTTCTCTAACTGCTTGGTATCTATTCCCTATTCTCTTTGGAACATCCAGTAAATAGCATTCTAATTGTCGACGTTTCTTACACGGTTATCATGCAAGTATGTGCGTTTATACGAATATATTGGTGAACATTTAATGTTTCGGGGCGCGCGATCAAGTCAACGATCCATATTTAAACAATAATCCACACGCTACTTGACGTTACAAGGGGCCGATAAGCGCTCGTAAAACTAAAAAGCCTTAATTGAGCTCCTGGCAATTGGCCAACGCGCCGTAATCTAACCGCGTACTCTGCGAGAGTATATCGTGGCCGATTGCATCAACCGCGACCTTTTACCGCCTCACCAGTAGAGCGCGAAGATAATTGTACAGACGGGAGATCCACGTTCGGAATCGGACCGGCCTCGATCCCAGATGTGTCCCGTTCGGGCTGTATGTACAATGAGAATCATCTGAAAATCGTCCGAATGTCGAAAAAAATCTGCCGAGATTTATTCAGGTAATTTATTTAAGTGTCTGTCGACAAAGACATAGACTCGAAAGATAGCAAACTTGAGGAAAAACTTTTTACATAATTTTTTTACCGTCATTCAAAACGCACGATTTAAATTTTTAATCTTTTTTTATGTGAACAATGTAAAAAGCTCTTTTTATATTTCCTATCTCGATAGCTTTCTGATTACAACGCCAATTGAAAACGCACAACGAGTGAAATAGAAAAGAACTTCCACTGAAGAATTTGATTCTAAGAATTTGGAAAAAATGCCGAATAATAAAATTATAATTCTTAAAATTAATTATAACTTCTAAGAAAAAAAAAGAAGAGCTCGCATTGAACAATGCTCAAGTTTCACAAAAGCGCGCATATTTTTTACGCAGTGAAATACTTACGCAAGTTTTAACTGTTCGGAAAAGGACTAGGTCAGCGTATAATGTAGACACGAGACAACATCATTTCCAACGGAAATAGATAATCTTGGCCTTCTCTATCGCGCAGATGGATTTCCAAATCAGTCGTGCGACAAACTCACGATTATATATCGATCCAGTTCTGCTCATTTTGTATGGAATTTTTTTTTCCCGTGCCGCGGTGTCGCCAAGAATCGACTTGTGACGTGTACCGTCATTAGATTTGCGCGTGTTCGCACGATGTTATCGCCTATTACGTGAAATTACTATACCGATAGTGACTATCATTACTTAATACTTGGATCTTGCATAGTGTCTGAACGCACGTCCCTTGCAGCATTAGTTTAAGTGCATTTGCGACTATCTGAACAGTCGGTCTCTAGCAGATTTTTAAAGATAATTCTGACAGGCTATAATTACGTAAATAAATATCTTGGTAATGCAACATATAATGCATTAACTTAAAAAAAAAAAGAAAGAAAAAGTAGATTTTTTTATAGAAGTAAAGAAAAGCACTATACATATGCGAAAATAAGATTGTTTCTAAGATATCCTGTACAGCTTTACATCGTGTTAAACACTTTTGCGAGTGAATATGATGTTCGTTCAAGTATAATTATCGGGTAGTTTCATTTACATTTGCGGAAAAAGCAAGATGTTGAAGGAGTAACGATCTTCTTCCTGCCTCTTGTAACTCTTCATTCGGATACCGATCTCCGGACATTAATTTGAATATGTTGCGTCGAGGCGGCGAATCGATCTCGGTCTTGCTGAAGGCGGATGTCCATTCGCATTGTAGCGAAGGCAAAAGTTGCGCCACGAGATATCTGAATCCGAAAGACTCCATGCTTGGAAAGTTGGCCAACTTAGATATAGTTCTTTTATATTGATTTACTTTCGCAATTATCGTCAAAAAATTATTTCTACTTTGCCGAGCTAATATAAAAAATAATTAATCAAAGACCTGAAATTTTCAGACAATTATTTTTACGATAAGAATTAATTTAAAGACTATAAACACAATTACTTTGGGGGAAAAATACCTACTACTATTTGTGTGTATATCATTTGTAAAATATTTAAAAAATTGTGTAGCTACGCTAATGTGCGCCAGAATTTAAATAACATTTATTTTATTCATATAAAGAAAATATTTGCAGAATTATTTACCCCAATTATTTACATCTTCGTCATATTTTTTCCTTAAAAGTTTCACGATCTGTCGCTTCTGGCAACAGCCACAGGGCGAACGAGCGATCAAAGCGTGACGCGAAAAAATGCCGTCCTTGTAGGGTAGTTTTGTAACCATGTAATAGAAGATCGTATGTATCTACTTACGACGCTTAAGATCCTTAAGATCTACAAACGTACCTACGTCCTTAGAAATATTAATCAGTCAGCCATTTGTGCAATGGTCTCCGACCTGAGTGCGAATCTTCGCTACGATCGCTTCTCTCGCGTTTCTTCATTAGGTCGATTGAAATTGTATGCGTATTCTCTCGGGCATTTTATGACGCGTTACGGAAATCTTGTTGCTACTCTTTTATGACGCCGTTAAAACTCTGTATCTGTTAATTGCGAAATACGCGTTAATTTCATTTTTAAATCGGAGCGTCTAAGCCTTCATATAGAGCTCGCGTCCGTGTATGTGATAAAGAGGAGGATTCCCTCTGTTTTCTGAATGTTTGTGCAATCGTTGACGACGGTGGTCGTGTTTTCTCGTGCTCGTTCTTCCGAGGACCGTCGCAAAAACATTAATGACGCTCATTAATCTGAGTGAGTTATTAACATGTTGCCGCGCTGACATGTGTAGCGATCTACATATATCAAACGTAAATGACTTCTTTAAAAATTTATAGCTCGCGTTCTACTTTCGACGGTAATGATGTTTTCACTTCAGCGAATTTAAATTTTCATGGCAAATTATCAACTAAAAATATCAAAGCTTTTAAAACATAAAATATCGTAAAAGCAATTATACCTAATTGTACCAATTTAATAATATCATAATATTTAACTTACATGTGTCAATAATTTACGTAACAAAATATTCCAATCGCATTATTATAATCTCAAGATTAAACCTTAATTCTATACCTTTGATGTACCATTCAAAAAGACACAAAAATAGATAATAAATTATATATACATATTGTTATATTGTTATTTATAATAAATTATTTAGAATATGTTACTATAGTAAATATACATATATATATATATATATATATATATATATATATATTTTATAATATTAGTAATAATGAACTGCCGTACACACCTGAATCGTATTATAGAATAAAAAGTATTAATAAAAATACTAAAGTCCTTATAAAAGTATAATATTATAAGGGACATATATTATAAGTACGTGATAAGTAGAACACAGCTAAACAAAACCCTGTATATATTTATTCACATACTGTACAAAGGTATATTACATAAAGTCGATACACAACTACACGCTAAATCGCGTACTTAAATAATGACCTAGAAACCCCATTTGGATCGTTTCGGGATCGTAACGGAAACGCATCGCCGACCTCGAAACTGCCCAAACGAAAGAGAACGTTACCAACACCGTAATTTCAATTATATGAATAACTTACTGTTAGCCGTAGGTACATAGGAATCGCAACACAGCGAAGGCGAATAAATAATTTCACGTGATCCGCCGGAAAAACCGTACGGATCCCTTCTAGGGAGTCTTTTTGTAATACTGAACAACAGTTCGACGGTCAGTTTTGGACTGACAATGAGTAGAAGTTCCGACGCGTACATTCCGCCGAATATTCAATTCAATGCTGCCGGCAAAAAAATTAATACCGCCCAGGAGTTGACGCGTATTTTGAACGAGGACGATAGTGACCTCGTTGAGGGAAGATACGCGGGGGGGAAAGGGTTGAAATTGTGTCACGTAGAGTCCGACCGGTACAAATAACCATAAGCGTACATGGTGCAATTCACCACGTGCCATCACATTCCGCCAATTTCATGCATGCAATTCAACGAAAACGAGTTGCAACTTGACGATGTACCTGGCAACATTATGAGAGGAGCGTGAACGTGTCAAAATGTTTACCCCCTTTTTACGTTGGCGTGCATGGACAATCACTGTTTTTTTACACGAGTACATATACTAGGAATATAAAAAATTAATGTAAAGAAGATCTCTCACATATTCTATATCAGTAATTAAAATTCGCTTCTCATTTCAAATACATAGTCATATATGTCTATACATCCAGAAGATGTAAATCAAAAGATTATATAAAGTTTTGTCAAATTGTTTTCCAATAAAATCAATTTTTTTCTAAGCACAGTTACTACATATATGGTACTTCGATGATTGTGCAACGCAATTATACGACAGCCAGTTAAAGACTTATAAAATTATATAAAGAAGAAACATTTAGAGAAACTTTGTTGTTATATCATTGCGTGATAAACATAAGTGAAACGTATAAAATTACCTTGCTTAATATGTGCGAACTTCTTTGATTATAGAGAAGAGAGAGTAAAGTTGAGTGTAGCGTTCACGCAAAATAGCTGAACAAAGAGGGACGAAGTATGGCAGGCGTTTTTTTTTCTTTCTTCAAGTAATAGTTGCCGATGTTTCGAGGCGATCGATGATTTATTCTTAATAAAAAGGACGGCGAGCAATACATAATCTTAACGTCGGACTACAGCCGGTTAATTTATTATATTGCGATCTTGTCCATCGATGATCGATCGGGACTCCGCATATTAACCGACACGAGTTTACGCTCGGTCGCGGGTATCAAGCAGCCGCGGCTCGGATTTACATTACCGAGATCGATCGTTACACGACCTGCTTAATATCCGCGAGCGCAGATGTCAATCTCGGCCCTAAGTTAAATCGAACTTCGCAGCGGTGTTATCGATCTAAGTTCGAAGAAGCCAATCCTCTCGGCTCAAATCTAATTTTCCGAGTACCGCATGCAAAATGGTACAGTTCAGTCAAGTTTGATAATGTAAGTATTCCAGAATCAATAATAACTAAATGTTGTCGACTTCTGATAATGGTATTCGACAAGAAGTACGATGTACCGTGTCTCTCTCATTTTCTCTCTTGTTTCTCTCACGAAGAAACGCTTGTTGTAAAGCAGATTCCTATTTGTTCATGGGCATCGATTCATGGGCCGAGATCAAAACCGATTCACCGTTCGGAGCTTGAACCCTCGAATTTAGGCTAGATGGAGTGACACGGTGATGGGTGACAGCAACGATCTACTCCGACGTATCGACAGGTGGACGTCTTCTTATAACTCCAGCGAGATCTTCATCTCGCGAGTCTTCCGACGCGCGCGTAGTTCCGATCGGTCGTCGATTATGCGGCTTCTCAGCCCCACTTAGCAGCTATTGTGTAGAGTGACCTGAGGAGCTCGAGGGCTCGGCTGTCAGAAGCGGTGGCCTCGTTCTCCGATAAGGAATTATTCGTCTCCGAGACAACGTCGTCCGATCTTCTAGAGAAGACGTTGGCACTCTCGGTAGTCGTGCGGAATTTCCGTCCCGTCCTACTGCGAAACGTAGTGATGGATGGTGCTGACGGCGTGGGTCTCACGGATGACGCTCGGGGAGTCCTCATTGTCGTGGAATTCGTCGAAGCAGCCACTCGTGATTTAACTACAAAACAATAAATCTGTGTTATTTAACAATTAATAAAATATAAGCTGAAGAAATAAATAATATTATTTGTTGTGTAAAATTGGTGACAATTGTATTTTTTACATGTGCAATATTACATTGTAAGTATAAGGAATACTGTTTTAAAGGAATAAAGAATTTCACTGAAAAAAATAAGTAATTTCTTATTTCGTAATAAAATCATATGTTGCAAAGGCATTCTAAAAATAATAATGTGTGAATTAAAAAGGCAAGATTAATATCAAATTTAAAAAATTATGAAAAAAAGAAATATTCTTATTTTTTATCTTTTCAGAGATATCCTGTATTCTTACAATGCTATCTCGCGCATGTTAAGCAATTAATGAAATTAACTTTATTACACTGAAAATAATCCGTTCATTAATAAAATAATAACAAAACATAATTGATTACATCTCAGAATACTTACATCAACTATGTACACGACCAAAATTAATTGTCGACAGTATTCACTATTCTTAATATATAGTGTTTATCTAAATAAAGCATCTTTATAACTTTAAAAGATAACTAGAGCGCCAATTAAAATTAATGTTTGCATAAAATATTCTATAAATAAATATTATCTTTAATAAATACAGTGTAATACGTACAAATCGGAAGATTAAGTCGGTTGATGCTAGCGACGATTTCTCGCGACTCCTCCGAGGTAAATTCGTTAACGGGCATCCTCAGAAGTGCGTCTAACAGTTGCTCCTTCTCCTGCTCCATCGTCTTGTTTTTGGGCCCGTTGCAATGATTTATCAGCAATAGCACCAATTGCCTTACCATCGCGTTGCTGTCGGCCTGTTTCATCACTCGCATCAACGTGTTCGTGCTAGTCTCATTCAGATTACCGAACATCTCATGCGCCTTGATCACTTCATTTTCGGTGGCATTGAACGTGCTGCCTGTCGTAAATGGCAGCAGAGTGGAGGCCAGGTTATCTCGGGGGACGGCATTGGTCGACGTCACCGAGGAGGTAATCGTAGTCGTTATGCTGGACCGCGTTGTGATGATCGGAGTCGGTGTCGCTGTCTTTTCTGAAAAGGTCGTTGGCAGCAGAGTGAATGTCACAGGCGAATTGTTGTCGCTCGTCGCCCATTGCCAAGGACTCGGTGTGCTAGTAGTCCGCGGTTCCGTCGTCACGTCGTGATCTACATTGGACAACGTTGGCGATCTCGTGGTGCTCGCCGCCACGGTGTGTTCCGACTCTCCGTTAATAGCGTCACCGGTTGTGTCGGGCGACTGAGTGGTGCCGACGTTCGACTCTAGACCGTGATTAATGTGCCGAGGATCCACGAACACCGTTGTCTCCCAGAGCTGAGTGACCATGGGCGAGGAAGTCCAATGATCGTTGTTCGGCAGGCTGGAGTGTCTTGTGGTGGACGCGTTCGCCGGATTGCTGGAGGTAGCGCGAATAACGGTCGCGGTATACGGAGTAACATCGCTGACGGTTGCAGTGACGGGATCCAGAGTCCCGACGTCGTCCCGAATTGTCGTCGCCGCCGTTGTCGCCGCGGGTTTGCGAGTGCCTTCTACGCGATTGCTTTCCGGCTTGTAACTGTTTCTGAACTTGGCGTACGAGCTACGAGCTGTAGCGAGAGATTCCGGTGGCGCTGTCGTTGAATCGTAGTAACGTATCCTGAACGGCTGAACGGTGCTGCTGACGGTCTTGTAGCTAGATTTGCTTCTCGGCAAGGGCGTCGTCGAGCGCACCGCCTGATTCGGCAGGATGCTGTTCGACGCCTCGAAACTCTTCACATTACCGAAACGATGATAATGAGGCGGTGTGAGATTTTGAACAGGTTTATCACCAGCTGAGCCTCTACCCCAGGTAGGCGCAGTCGTTCCTAGGCCAGAATTCTGAAAAGACGCCACCGTCGACGACGCCACGTATTTGCTTATAGGCGTAGCGCCGATCGGTTTGACGTTTTTACCATAAGATTGGAAGGTTGACGCCGTGTTATTATGGAAGCCACCAATCTTATTTCTGCCGTCCTCGTCCAACGGGAAATAATTGTCATAGACCGGTGACAAGTCGGTCGAATCTCTTGTATCGCCATCGTAATTTTGAATATCGTTCATGGTGGTAGTGAAAACGCGATTCACCTCAAAGGCAAACGTATTACCACCCTGCGTCGATGATTCGACGTAATCCCCCGAATCGTATGACAAAGCGCTAGGCGGTAACAACGTCGTGCTCGGATAGTAAATTGGCCTTCGTGTTTGGCTCTCTGTTGCGTAATATTCATCATATGGCGTCGTGTAGTAAGTCGAATACGATCTGTCGGTGGTGACAGGCGGCTGTAAAGTGGTAGGGAATATGGTGGACGGCTTGCGTCTTCTGTCGGTATCGTCCGAAAAATCCAGAACTTCATCCTTCTCCTTTGTCACCGACGCGAATTCTTCCGCAGTGGTCGGATATAACGTCGTCACTTCGAACTGATCGTCGTCGACGGTCGTTGCCGGTGGTTGCGTGGGCCTGATCTCCGTGAGCACTTTCTTGAAGGTATCCGGATCTTGCAGATACGCCGACAAAGCGTGAGTGAAAACCTGGGCCAGTTCGCGCAGCTTGGTGTTGTTCGCTCTATGCGCGCCGTTCACCGGACCTTCGCTCTGCTCGAGCTCTAGATCGTCGTCTACCTCGCCGCCAACGTCATCGGCTTCCGACGTGAGTTCGGTCATCGTGGCGTTTCCCTCGAGCGCGTTGTTCAGATTGAACAGCTCGATGTATGAGGAGATGGTGTGCTGTGTAAGAATACTGGTCGGTAATTCGACGGACGAATTATGCGAATGACCGCCTTCCCTACCCTCGACTTCCTCGACACTCGCGGTGGACTCGACGGTTTCGTTGGAGTCAAGATTGTCGCCGGCCGTGGCGAAATACAGAGCTAACGAGTGCAAAGTGGACGGACCGAGCGCGGAGGGCCCGTTTCGACCGTTTCCGTCCTTTGCATCGATCTCGCTCAAAGTTTCCGCGTCATTTTCTAGACCTTGAAGAGAATGCAACATGCTGAGCGCATGTTCTCGTTCGGCATACGGTCTATCCTCCAAGGACGTTGGTGGTTTGCTGCTGACCTCGGGTAAATAGGTCGCTCTGCTTTTGGGCTTGCTCGTTACCGGAGGCGATGATTTCACTTTCGGTATCAAATTGCTCGCGGTCATGCGATAATTTGTCAGGGTGGGATTGTACGTCGGCACGGTGGTCGGCGGCTTCGGCGTCGGAGTAGTGGTCATCGTGGAATAAACGTAGTTTTTAGTGAAAGGTACGTATGGGCCTAAAGTAGACATCACTTTCCCTTGTTTGTAGGTAAAACTGGTGTCGTAAGGGCTCAAGGTCTTGCTGGTAGAGCTGTTCTGCTGATGAACGTTGGTGCTTCTCCACGGCTTCTCGGTCGAGCTGATCGAATTTTGCTGGAAGCTTTGCAAAGTTGCGCGCCAAGGATCCGTCGTTGTGCCTTTGCTTACGGTATTCGCGAAACTGTTTTCTTTCTGATAATTGGCATGGGTTTGACCACGAGAGTCTCCGTAAAATGGCGTCGACGAAGGAGACACGTTCTGACTGACGGTTGAGGTGACGTTAGCAACGTTGTGCCGATAGCTCTCTGTATTCACGTACGGACGCGTAGTCGCGAAAGAAATATCAACGTCTCTCTGTTCGGTCACCCTATTATCAACGTACTGCTGAGTTTGATAATTCGCGGGGGCCGGTGGCACTCTCCCTATGGCTGGAGGAGTCCGTAGATCGCTGTACGTGTTGAAGGACGTAGTTGGATACTCCTCCGCGGAGGAAGTCGACGTCACAGTCGCATCGGTGTCGGTATTAGCGTACGTAGTTTCCGGAATATCGCCGTGCTTGTAATAGGGAGTACTGTAGTAAGACGTCTCGGTGGTCGGCGTGTACTGCAACGTTGTTTCGTAAGGTGGCAATGTCGTTGTCCTAGGCTTGTAGATAGGAGTGTACGTAGGCCCGGGGTACGGCGGGGCACCAGTTTTTGGCGTGAAGGACACCGTCTCCGCCTCTTCGTTCTTCTGCGGCGTTAAAGTGGTCGTCTCGTGACCGCGATAGTCAGCAGTGGTGTGATCTCGGTAATCGTACGAGTGATAATAATACTGTCGAGTGTTCGAGGATTTGCCTGAGTTGAAGCGATTTCCTCCGCGATTGGACACGAAGGCGGCGCTTTCCGCGAACTGCTGATACTCTACCGGAGGCGCCGCGGTTGTGGTTCTAAAAGTCGTCGTCTCCATGTACGTCGGCGTAGCTTTTTGCGACTGGCTGGAACTGAACAGATTGTTTCGCGTTGAAGTTCGCGACTTTTGGTTACTGAACGCCGGTTTCTCGTTGCGCGGCGTATTCTGATAATGATCCTGCGTGTTGCTCTGCCGGCTATCCTGGAACTTATTTCCGTGCTCGTAATTGAATTTGCCACTCTGCGTATCCAGCTGATTTCTCTGCCTGCTGGTCTGATAATTTGATCCGCTGTCATGTTGTCGCTGTTTCGGCGACTGGTCGACGTTCTCGGGCGTCGTTTTCTCGTTAGTCCGTAACGCGTTCGCATTGTTTTCCTGGTAATAGCGACCAGAATTACGAGTGTTCTCGAAAACGTTATTCGGTCTGAATTGTTGGTTGGATTTCGATTCATCCTGACTTTCCGGAATTTGATTCTGCTTGGCGGCGGACTGACCATACGGATTCGTTCTGCCGTTTTGTCTACCGTCGTAGTCGACGTTATCATAGTAATCCGCGTTACTTTGCTGCTCCGTGCGATGATACTCGGACTTCATCCTTCTCGCTTCCGCACGTTTTTTCTCTTCCTCGGCCAATTGCTCCGCACTCTGCTCATACAACTCCGTGGACCTGCTGCAGTCCACTTTAAACCACCAGTCGCATATAAGTTGTGATTGCTGGAAGATAGTGCCGTTGGGACACAGGAACGAGATTTTACGTCCATTGTCGCAGATGTGAAATACCTGAAATTATATTCAACTTCGGTGACAAGTGCGTTTATCGAAAGGTCTCTATAAAAACGCTACAAGTAAAACGCTATAAAAATGCCATTAAATATATAATTTTATTATATTATACATTTTATATAATATTAAGTATAATAATTTTTTTTGAGGTATAATAAAAATTTTTTTCAAAAAAGTCTTAATTTTCTTTTATTTTTCAAATTTCTTTATTCGGCATTTATATTTCTATTTTTTACGGGCACTCTATAAATGTCAAAATTTTTATAATCCGTAACTAACAACCACTGGATCGAGCATCAATCCGCGTGACTTTTGCTCGAGCCGAACGAGATACGTAATATCGATGTCACCTACTTGGCAATTTGTTTCTAAATCCGCGTAATATCCCCCTCTCAGACCGCGACAGCTGAATGAAGTGGCTGGGATCGACGTGAGGGCTGGATAATCCACGCCGGGCTGCCCCGTCACGCCTGAGTACGAAGTGGAGTATTATTAAATTTTATAGCGCTTATTATATCAACGCGGCGTAACTCGACATTCACCCCGTGTCTTTCGCGGTCGTGCTTCTAAAATATAAATATCGCAACATAATCGTTTGAAGCTTCGCGAACCATGCGAGCTATGCCATTAATTTTTCCGTGCATAAAGAATTCCACGCGAGCCGATAACTATACCGAGACTAGTGACACAGATCGTTTAAATTCCCCCATCATATCGCTTCGTGCGCAAGATGATAAACGAGCGATAGATAATCTGCTAATACGCGTAACGCGGCGTGTTTCGAAAATTTAATTACCGAACGTAACAATGCAATTACGTCACGTTTGGAGAAATAGCAGATCGGCTAGAATAGCACTGCCGTAGAAAGTCTGTCACTTCAGTGGAAAGTCACGAAGCGCCGGGCGCACAATCATCGTAAAACGAAAAATTGCACCTCGTGGGAAAGCAGAAACGCAGTCCGATCGCCCCGAGATAGTCGCACGCACTCAATGACTTTCGCTTACACAGCCTTTACGTAATATCTGACGCCTCGGTAAGACGGCTGGAGAAGTAACATGTACAGACATCCGATGCTCTCATTTTCGTGCTTCTGCACGCGTAAGATATCGCGATGTATGCGGGGTGTTCCGAATTTACCGAAGAAGCTTCCGGTAAATATTTGCGCAGATGCACAACTTGCAGAAGTGCATTCGCATATGACTGCACGTTATGTCTACATGCGAAAGACAAATATACACATGCACAATGCAAATATATACATGGGAAAAGATAATATGTGAAGAGCTAGGGAGTGAAAAGGAATAAGCGAGTATTATTTTTATGCCTGGATAAAAAATACGAGCAGAAGAAATGTTTATTCATAACTTGTTTTATTCGTATTTATGGTCTTCTTGGCTATCTGCGATTTCACTCAAAACTTTTGGGATTAATAAGCAATTAATAAGCGTGAAATAAAGTTACAAATAGCAGGTTTTAAAAGTTCCATTCTTTAAAGGATAATTTTATACAAACAGTTTTTATCAAAAAGGTTTAAACAGCGATGTTAAACAGTTTATTCTGCAAACGCGTGTATAAAAGAGTAGATAATAAAAGAGTCCAGTGCTCGAATAAGAACGGTTACATCAAAGAGATGCGACATGCACAGAGAGAAAAACGCTTTAAGTCATAATACCCGCTCCTTTGAGCCACTCCTTGAGGAGGTCCTCGTTACCGAAGAAGACTGGCAATGGGGGTGGAAAAAAAAAGCGAATCGTTTTAGTCAGGGGAAGAAAAAGAGATTAGCGATGTAGTCTCGAGGTTAGTACAGGACAATTCTGTGAAAGAACCTTGGTAAACTTGGTACTCGCCGTTCTTTTCGGGCGCCAGCCTTTTCACGATTTTCTTCAGCGCTTCGACGTCCTCCTCGGATGCCTCGAGACTCGACAGGTCCAATTCCGTGAGGAACTCTGGCAGTCTCGCATGCTCGACATCTCGCGATGCCTGCAACGTAATACGTTCTCAGAATGTAGAACTACTTCCAGAAAAGCGCTCGCGCGATAGCGAGCCTCCGCAGGTCTCTCAAACGATATGCTACTTTCAACTTCTACAGCTTGCTCCTGTAGTCGAATTACTTTTTCCTCCAACGCTTGCATCTTCTTTAGATACTATCTTCTAATCCAATCATCATTACGGATGATACTGGATAACGTTAAATGCAAAGTCGTTTAGAAAAAGTACAATAATTTTACTGTATTTTGGGATTAATCGAGAACGTACAAAGCCGAGCGGTCAGTTATCAGTTTATTCCAATATTTGTGATATTTTTTTTCCCCCGAACGACGTAATCGCAATTCGCAAAAAACGAGAGAAACAAAGGATTTAGTCGTAAGCTCTATTAACGAAAGAGATATTTCCCGTTAAAAAACAGCTCGTCAATTTACCGTGAAATTTCCCGTTTCCTTTTTTTTTTACGCGTCATACGTGAATTAAGTCTTGATAATTAGGGAAATCAATTTATGCATTCGTACGCTCGAGCCGCAATGAGTGCATTAAACGCTATTGATTTTGCGTGCGCGAGACGATACGACGCACAAAATGCGAACGAACCGCTCGTCGCTGCGTTATCCCCGCACACGTTGAAATTCGATACTGCAACTCGCATCCCACCGGGCAAACGAAAGTTTGATTAAATTTCGCTGTAGCGCGCGGGGTGCGGAAGGGAGTCCGTCGCCGTTACCTACACCTACGCGTAAATCACTGGTTAACCGGTAAACGGTGCATCGCGAGTATTGACCATTGCCGGCATTTATCAGCAACGTTAACGGCGACTTCAAAGCGACGCTCGCGGAAGCGTATTGTAATTTCACTCGGGCGATTTTTCACGGCACTGCGGAACGAAATTCGCTTGCTCGTGCGGCGCGTGTGCGCGCGGGCGCGCGTAACTCATGACACTGTAATTAGATCTCGCGCTCCCGTAAATTAAAATCCGCGTTACATCTGCGAAGATGAGAAAAGAACGTTCGTAACGTACGTTTCCACGCTCGCGGTTGGAAATTTCGCGTCGCGCCCCGAAGCGCGCGGCGTTCCTACCGTGCTTTACACATCTTTCGAATCGATTGCTCGCAAAGCGTTAAACCGTCGCGCAGTACACCGTCCGTACGGAATTCTACAGAAAGTTAAATTGCGTTGCTTGAAATAAGGACCGCGGGGACTTTAATTACTTAGCCGCTAATTAACTTTGGCGTCCAAAGTGCCGCCTGATTGGAGCCGCTCGGTCTTGAGATTAGCGCCGCGCTTGAATATTTACGAGAGCATCGTTCGGTCACTTATACTTCTACAGAATTAAGAAAATCCGCGATAAATATTCCAAGACGTTTCTGAACTACCCGACCGAATTTTACTCGCGTCCGCGTCCGGCGAATCCGCGAAAGCACCAAGAAGGATAAATTCGTGGATATAAAGACTTCATCGTCCGTGTGCGGCAACTTTACGGGAAAGTCGGGAACTTAATATTAAACTTAGAGAATTGCAAAGAGAGATTGTACCGAAATTATCACTGCGTGATAAATTAAATGACACTTTTATGGGATTAAGAGCGGCACAGAAAGTTATACACAGAACCGAAACTAGTTACAAAATTAATTTCAAATTTAATTTCAGATTAATTTCGATTTTAATCAAATTTAAAAGGGAAATAACATTACGTCTTAAGACCAGAAGACTATATAACTATTTTTAATCTAGTACTTCGTATAAATAATATAAAGAAATAAAACGAAAGGGAGCACACTCACCCCTGTCTCGCAGCGGCCGGGCGTATAAGTAGCAGCGATACCTGAAAGTCGGAAGCGCGGATTAGAGTTGGGATTAAACAATCATGCGTTTCGCTCTATAGGAAATTAGGTCAGCGAGGCGCAGCCGCCTAATCCGAATGTTCTACAGCCGTTCTATAGCATCCATTTGGCATATTTGTATAGCTGCTTTCGCGCTACAACGCGACGTTGTGAAAATATGCGAGTGGCGGTAACCATTCAGGCTGTTTTCGCTGTTGAATAAAGAAGCTTTATCAACGACAAGCATACCGGGCAGAATCGCACGGTCGATGCGCCCGTATAATCCCGTGGGTATTATGATAGAATTGTACATGTCGCGATTTTTTTCTCACTGCCGTTTGATATAGGCAGGCTAGGTAGTCGCGCGGTAGAATAGAACTACAGCTATATCAATATCGAGAACATACATTGAACTTGTCAAACTTTATTTTGGATTATGAGTAACATTATTCTATTGTTGATGAAGAACAACACGTTTTATCGGAGAGCGGAATAATTTTTTTTTCAAGAGTGCTTGAATACGTATTGGAGTATCGAGGGTGATATTATACGTGGAAACACTAACACATGTAGGATATTAAAAATACGAAAAATAATTTTAAAAAGTAAAAGAAATAAAATGTTTAAATATGACAACTTTTTACGATAATATTTCAATACTTTTATATCTTGAAAGTTTCAGATAATACGTCTTGATCGTCTGAAAAATTTTCGTTGCTATTAAAAGTTCAAAAAACCTATTTGGTGAACAAACTATTTCTTCTGAAAGATTCTGATCATAATTTTCTATTACAATCACGTTTCCCTTCATTTAATTAATTGTAAATTAACCTTTAATAAAATTTTTAATTAAATTTTGATTATAAATACGCGCTTCTGAAAATTGCCAGTAATGCTGAGAATTATGATTTCAAATTTCAAACAGCTGCAGGAAAATTCATCAAAAAATTTATAGTTGAGAGAGAAAGCGCGTGATACCTATGACACATTACATAAGTGTAAAAGCTCGAGTCAGAGGTCGATGGGCCATCGTCACTTTGTTGTTTGCGTGTTTGACGTACCGATATTAGAAGTTCGCACGGTATTTAATACAACAGATGATAACTAAAGGCGATTCTATGTATTTTGCCGTCGTCCCAAGCATTATAATATTGGAAACAAGCTGTTTGAGTGCCTTATAGAAATATCTGATCGTGAGTAAAATGTAATTTTTTTTTTCGGACAAGAAATTAATGGTCTGTCTATCGATTCTGGCAATGTTAACACACACTCCGCGATCCCGAAGAAGAAACTTAATGGCGCTGAATATAAAGCCATACGGAACGTTATTGGAAAATGCAGAAAGAGAAAGAGAGATGGGACAGAGTAATAAAGATGGATAAAAAGTGATACGGACGAAGTCGTAACTTGCTACGTGAAATTCTTTATGACATCGTGGAAAACGTGCAAAGTTTCACGAAAGTAAGCGACGGACTTTCATGACGATGAAAAATTTTCCGCGCATACTTGTGCACTAAGTCCCGGATATCGAATCGCGCGTTTCCAACGAAGTAGTCGTGAACTTTTCTACCTCGCTACGTTGAGAGGTTTTTTCAAACGTTATTCAGTAGCTCGTTCAGTTAATCCAATGTATCTCTCCATTTCGCTATAAATTACTATATAGATACG